GTGCAATTTATTCAATAGTTCCTTCTTTTCACACTAATCTGCAATTGTTTTCATATATGTGCAGGTCTGCTCTGGGCTCTCTGTTGTTCCCTTTTACTGGATAATTTGTCTATACCTGCCCCAATACCACACTATCTTAATTACTATAGTTTCATGATAAGTCTTCATAGCTCGTGGAACCAATTCCCATACACACACTTCCTGTTATTCCATACAACAGGCTGTTGGCGTTGCCTCTCAGGTGGTGTCTCTTACTTTATAGAATTGTGCTTTCTCCTTGGGTTTGAGCTCTGTAGCTACGACATCCTCTCTTAGCCTCTGTCAGTGCCCATCTTGACCATCACTGCATCCAACTGCTTTTCCTTTAATACTGTAGTTTGGGCTCATATACCCCTCTTAGTTTTAATGAAGACAGAGTTTCTGTTTTTCTTCATTGTGTTACTCCTTATTGCTTTTAGATGCTTTTCTTTAGAAAAGAAAGGAAAACTGCAACCTTGACTCAGCCATTTAAAACCTTTTGTATAGGGCTTCTTACTTTGTCATTAGAATGGTCTAACCCTTGTCCTGGATGGTTTGGCTCAGTGGTTAGAGCGTTGGCATGTGGACCAATGAGTTGCAGGTTTGATTCTGGTCAAGGGCACATACCTCGGTTGCTGTTCGTCCCTGGCCCTGGTCGGGTTGTCGGGGAGGCAAGTAGTCGATGTGGCTCTATCACATCAGTGTTTCTCTCTGTCTCCCTCTCTCTCTCGCTCTCCCTCCCTCCCACTCTATCTGATGATAAATGAAAAAATATCCTGAGGAATATAAAAAAAGGTCTAATCCTGGGCTTACCTCCTGCTCTGCCCCAGGCCTGTCTCCCTTGTCTGGTTCAGGAAAGGCTGCCTTTCCAGCCCCTGCCACCTGCGTTGCCGACGCTGCCTGCCGGATGGGGTTAGGAAGGACGCCTCTGGGTATTAATCAGTGATGATAGACAATACCTTGCCCTTTAAAAGACAAGTAAATGTATCAGTACTTTTAGTCACTCTTGAGAAGCCTAACGAGATACTGAAATATTCCTATGGGATCTGAAAGTTCTGTGTTTTTATTTCCAGTAGCAGGAGAGCTTGCAGCTTTATCCTTGAGAAATGTCCAATCAGTTTTCAACCCCTAGCTCACTTCATCTAGATGAGAGGCTACACTCCAGTGAGCCCCTGCACTTCAAGATGTCACATACTAGCTGCAAAACTCACAATGGGCTTTCTAGCAATTTTCTTATGTGAATGTGTATCAAGGGTTCCCTAAACTAGGATGAAGACAATCAAGACCATCGTTTTATTGCTTCTGTATGTAACCACAGTCTAAATTAAAAACAGAAAAAGAAATGAAACGTTGCCCAGTTGCAGCGCCAGCTCAGCGCTGTGGCGGACACGGGCCAGGCTGGTGTTCCCTCGTTCCTTGGTCGTCTGCAGTGTTGGAGGTCAGCGGGGAAGGAAGGCACAGGGTATTTTGCTCACCCTCCTGAGTGGTATAATGTAGTGCTGAGGAGGACAGGCTCTGGGCCAGACTTCATTCAAGCCCTGGCATTGCCACCTACAGAAAGTGTGTCCTTGAACAAGTGTTAATTTCTCTGAGCCTTGCTTTCTTCTGTAAAAAGGGGATAAAGATGCCAATAGTCCTCCCTCACAAGGTGTTTTTGAGGAGTAAAGCAGATCATATACACAGAGTGTCTGGCAAGTGGTACTGAGTAAATACATATTATTAATGTTACGATGGGGCTAAATCCTGTCTTTTAAATAAAATAGTAATGAGGAGAGTCCATTCTTAACATGGAGATTCAAGAGAAGGGAGTGAGTTTGCGGTGGGCCCCACCCCTGGAGATGTGCAGGTCGGCGCACTTGCTGGCCGTCCTCCGCGGCAGGGTCTGAGGGCTCAGGCAGCCACCCACCAACAATTTAAAACGCAGCTGCGTCCAGGACTGGCGTAAGTCCAGTAGTTCTGTAGCACGCTCCCACACTTTTTCTCTTTGCCCTTTCCAGCAGCCCAGTGAGGAGGGCTTTGTCATTCCCATTCTACAAATGAGACTTGAGTGACTCACCCAAGGTCGTGCTGCTTACTGGCAAGAACTGGAAGCTGTTCTCAAATTCAAGTCTTTTCCTTTTTAACGCACTCGCTTTATTAGATGGAATTATCTGGAGAATGAGCACAGTAGCCTCTCAAGCATACTCTCCAACGTGCTTCTCCAACTTCAGGGATCATAGGAATGACCAAGGGAACTTGTAAAATGTGGATTCTTAGGCCTCATGGCTAGAGAGTCTGAGGTTTGGGAAGGCGCCTGGGAATCTGCCATTGTAATGGGCCCAGGTAGCCATCAGCATCTTCTAGAACCCAGTCTGACCCTCAGTACATTTGGCTGCCCTTCCTTTAAGATTGTAGTTTGGGGTTATGTACAGAGAGTGAGGTGATTGTGTCCACAGGTAGCCTAGGAGACTACACTGGCTGGGGACTAGGGGTGGGTGAAGCAGACACAATCATTGCCTCACAGAGTTCACAGGCAGGTGTGAGAACCGACACCTAAGAAGCCAATGCCACACAGTGTGATGAGACTGTTGCATTCATCAGGAGAACATGCCCATCTTGATCCTCCCCTTCAATGTTTTGGCTTGTGTGTAGTCATGTAAATATCCCCATATTGTCATTAGCACAATCTGGAGGAGGCATTTAATCTATGCCCATGAAGGTCTCATATTAGACTGGCCCAGATATAAATTACATAAAATTCCTGTGAACTTAACACATATCACATGTAAAAGTGTGTTTACATGTGAAATTTTTCTCCCCTGTATATGTACATCATTTCTTTTCTCTACTGTGAATAGTATGATATATTTCTCCACTGTCACCATGGATGATAAATACCATGACTATCTGTTTGCTGAGTGAGTTATTACTTATCAAGTGCTTTTACTACTTGATACTCATAATGCTTTGGTGGAGAGAAGAATACTACCTTTGTTTTCAGAGAGGAGGCAGAGGTTCAGGGAGATTTTGGCTTGACCATTATTACCCAGCTGGGGGCAAGCTTTGAGCCAAGCTGCAGAGACTGGAAATGCCCAACCTGGACAGGGCTTTTGCAACACAACCAAGAGAATCTAGTCACTTCCTTTTAGCAGTACTCATTCATGACCTGCTTTGCCCTTACAGCCTGTTTTGAATATTGATGGTGGCAAGCTAGGCAAATTACAGGGCAGACAACAGCAAATACACCAGGCCCATTAGGCATGAATAAAATGACCACTTTCAAAAGCTGTTATGGGCCTCACAGGGAAACATACCAAGGATAAAAGAAGAAATCCATCAAGAAAACTTACCTCAGGCAGGGACTATGGCTTCTATCAGAGAGAGACTGAATGTCAATGTCTGTTTGTATCATTTTCTTGTCTTAGTAGTTTTTACCTTTCTTTCAAAAGATAACAGTTAATATAAGTATGTGTTTGTTTTTGGACAGTAAGCTAATTCTTTCCTTGCTCCAGCTGACCATTTTTATTTAGATAACTTTGATGTACATAAAATAGTAAAGACAGTTAAAGTAAGGTAGAGTGAATTGGTTAGCAACACATGGTTACTTTTTAAATTTTATTTATTTATTTTTGTTAATCCTCACCCAAGGATATTTTTCCATTCATCATCAGATAGAGTGGGAGGGAGGGAGAAAGAGAAAGAGAGAAACATTAATGTGAGAGAGATATGTCGATTGGTTGCCTCCTACACAACCCCGACCAGGGCCAGAGATCGAACCTGCAACCCAGATACATGCCCTTGACCAGGGATCGAATCCGAGACCGTTTGGTCCTCGGGCCAACATTCTAACCGCTGAGCCAAACTGGCCAGGGCAATACACAGTTATTAATGGATAGATTCATTAGGGGATTTAAAGACAGTCCCAGAGTAAATGTCTGAAGCTGGCAATAAGCCCTGTTTGAATATTCGCCCAAGCAGCTGGAGCACCAGAGTGCGTGATTCTCTGGCTTAGAGGTGGCTTCACAGGAAAAAAAAAAGTAGTTTTATAAAAATCAATAGAGTGACCACAATTACCAAGTACATTACTTCATAACTTCCAAGACACTAAGCGCCATAAATCAAACACATCAGCTAAAGCATAATCATGATGTTGTGGACAAACTGGAAAGCCTGGTATCAGCCAAGGAAGTGCCCAGAGTCCCATTCTAAGGCTTCTGAGGAAAAGAAATAGTTGGTCTTTGTTTTTGGCATCACTTTTAAGGCAGTTAGTCCCAGTCTTGCCAAGCAAAAGGTACGATTTTGTAAGTAATCATTGACAGAGTTGGAAGGGAGAAGAAATCCAATCATGCTGTAAGATTTTGCTAGCACTGTCTCCATGCAGCTAGCAGAGACTGGCTTGGCGGGGAGCATGTCCATCAGAGCATCTCCCACACAGCACAAGCGGCGAGGAAGTTCAGAGCTGCTAAGGAGCAAAGTGCCTGACATGCTAATTAATTCAAACCTCGGAATGTCAGGGTTTTGAGAAGGGGTGGGGAAGGTCTGGCCCCTGAAATCATTTGGTCTGGCCCTGCCAAGACAGCTACAGGTGGGACTCAACATTCAATCAATCTAGGAGCTTTTGTCATAGCAACATATATTTATTTTAAATGAATAATAATAATAATAATGTAAAATTGGAGGGACAAGCAAGGAATGTCCATTATGGGATAGACAGGGCACATACAAGTACAAAACGGGAGAGACACATATGCTTCTCCCTGGCTACCCGCAACTTGTCTGCCTGTACTGCGAGACTCAGAGGACAGTCAGTACCAGGCAGGCTGGGAGTGTGCATGTTGCCAAAGTGTTGACACACTGTGTCTTAGGAGATCTGGTGATGTTGAGACGAGATGCGATGAGATGATTCTTCCTGACGCTGAAGATCTTGTCTCCGATGATTGGCAACGATGCTGTTGACTTCTTTGTCGACACAGACAATAACTCCAATGCCACCTTTATCCACCTGTCCACCATCAACAATCCTTGAAAAAACTGAATCTCAGATGATGAATCAGGAAATTACAGTACACAGAAAAGACCTCAAGAGTTAACAATACAAACGTTGAATATGTTCCAAATCCAACATGCAGAATTAGTATAGTGATCAAAGCAAAATAATTGTGTTGCTGGCAACACACCCACTGGATAGTTATTAAAATTTGAGTGGTGTGACATCCTACAAATGGCAACTACAAAGAAAAGAAAAGTTGATGCATAGTGTCGATCTTTCCAAGAGAAATGGACAAATGATTATTTTTTTGTTGAGGTCAAAGGCAAACCTGTGTGCCTAGTTTGTGGCGATGTGTTAACAGTAATGAAAAGGCCAATCTGGAGCATCATTACAGCTCAGAACATGCTAAACTCAATGAATGGGGAGGCCAAATGCATCTGGAAAAAATCAATGCTCTTCAGCAGAGTTTGGAATCACAACAAGTCATTTTCACTAAGCCTTATTGTGACAGAGAAACATTCAGACGAGTTATGTGGTGAGTGAGCTCATCACAAAGAAGCTGAGGCCTCGTGTAGAGGGAGAGTCTGTGAAGGAGTGCGTGGTGGCTGCTGCGGGGTTGTTGGCACTAGACAAAACAAAATTGTTTCAGAGTGTTAGTTTGTCTCAGAGAACCGTCTCAGATTGGATTACTGACTTATCCCAAGATATTGAAAAAATACTGAAGGATTCTGCAAGAGATTCCCAATTTTTCTCTCTGGTTTGTGATGAGACAACAGACATAACAAATACTGCTCAGCTGGCCGTTTTGTTCATGGGATAACTGCAGAGTTTGAACTGCTGTCCTGGAAGCCACGCATGACACTACAAGAGGTGAGGACTTATCTGAAAGACTTGTTTTATCCATGAAGAAACTTGAGCTAACATTTGAAAAATGAAGTGGCCTTAACTACAGATGGAGCTCCAGCCATGGTTGGCTCACAAAAAGGGTTAATCACATTCGTCAAGAAAGAACTGAATTGTCTCAGTCTTGATACAAATGATTTAACTATGTGCCACTGCATCGTACACCAAGACTCTGTGTATAGTCATTATGACTCAACAGTGTGATGTCAACAGCAGTGTCATGCATAAATTTTGTCAAAAGCAGAGGGTTTAATAGCTGCCAGTTTAAGGAGTTATTGAATGATCTTGACTCCGAGTACAGTGATCTTGTTTATCACTGTGAAGTGCAGTGGCTGAGTCGTGGGAACATGCTCATGAGGTTTTATGAACTGCGGGATGAAGTCAAGCAGTTCATGAGGATGAAGGGAAAACCTGTCAGGGAACTCAATGATAGCAAGTGGCTGTGTGATTTAGCATTCATGGTGGACATTACCAAGTACCTCTCAGAGCTGAACGTCAAGCTTCAGGGCCCCAACCAACTTCTCAGCTCGCTGCTTTCAAATGTGAAATCATTTGAAGCTAAATTAAGGCTGTGGAAGGTGCAACTTGAAAGCAATAATATGGTGCATTTCCCCACTTTGGAAGGACACAGGCCTTCTACAACACTTGGTTATGCTGGTGAATGTGGGAAACTAATTAAGGCATTTAATGAAAGAGTTAAAGATGTGAAAAGTAAACAAATGGAATTGAACATCTTTGCTACACCATTCAATGTGGAGCTAGCTGATGTGCCTGATAACCTACAACACAAAATCATTCAGCTGCAAAGTGATGATGAGCTGAAAGCTAGGTGCTTGAGTTCTATAAACGGTACATAAGCAATGATAAATTTCCCACTTTGGGGAGACATACACTGAAATATGCATCTGGGTTTGGAACAACTCACTGCTGCAAGCAGTTCTTTTCAAAATATACCATTGCAAAGAGTCGATTGTGCTCCAGACTGACCCACGCAAACCAGGAAAAGCAGTTGCGAGTAGCAACATCATCAATACCAGCTACCATCACACGCCTCCCCAAAGAGAAGCAGTTCCAGCCATCACATTAGGGGTGAGTTAATTCAAAGTTTGACCAAATATAGCAGGCTAATTTTGAAGTTGATTATTTGGTATGGCCCGTGAATGATGTTATAAATATCCAAATGGCCCTTGGCAGAAGAAAAAAGGTTCCCCACTCCTGGTTTAGAGAGTCTGCAGAAAACATCTGGTCTGACCACTCACAACTCTTCTCCAGCCCTGAGCGATGGCCGCATGCTCAGCATGGACTCCCCCTCTCTGAGGAAAGAGCCCCTTCCAGTCCTGACCAGTAGGAAGTCTGCAGCATAGTTCAGCTCCATCAGAGCCACATGGCATCATCTCAAGTACCTGAAGATTGCCTTCATGTAAGCACCTCCTGAATCTTCCTTCTCCAAGGGACACGTCATTCGTTTCTCCCACTGCTCCTCGGCTTTCATGGTTTCCACCCTTCACTTCTCTGTGTGGACTTCACCAGACAAGCTGCAGTATCCATTCCTTTCTTGAAGGGTGGTGCCCACACTCTGAATAGCATGATCAGCCTGACCAGTGTGGAGTAGAGTGGGACTAATGCCTTCCTCATGCCTGGTATTCATTTTCTGTGAACAATGAACAACTTTGGCTTGTAAGTCCTACAGAAGATTTAGCCCTGGCCAGTATGGCTCAGTGGTAAGAGTGTCACCCATGCACCAAAGAGTCCCGGGTTTGATTCTGGCCAAGGGTACGTACCTTGGTTGCGGTTTGACCCTGGCCCTGGTTGGGGTTGTGTGGGTGGCAACCAAACGATGTGTCTCTCTCACATCAATGTTTCTCTCTCTCTCTCTCCCTCTCCCTCTCCCTCTCTTTCTCACTCCAGCTCTATCTGAAGATTAATGTAAAAATATCTTCGAGTGAGGATTTAAAAAATAATAATATAAAAAAAATTCTACATAAGATTCATATTGATGACATTATACTAATTTATTTATTGGGTATTTATTGAGCACTCACTCTGTGTCAGGGGCTATGCGAGGTGCTGGGGATATATAAAAGGACTCTATAATGTAATAGGACAGACCACTATAAATATGGTTCATTAGAAACGGCATGAAAAATGCTATGGCAGAGAAAGTGTGGGCTTTAGTCAGAAGAAGAGCGGTCCCTAAGCCAGCCAGGTCTGGTGGTGGTGACACTGAAGGACGGCCTGGAGTCTGTGTGGGGGCTTCTGGGAAGACATGGAGCTGGGCCTGGCTCTGGATGGGTGATGGAAGTAAGCAGGGGAGAGAAGGAGGGGAGAATGGTGTTCCAAGCAGGGAAACTGGAAAGTGCCAAGATTCAGAGGCAAGAGAAAACAAATAAATACCTGTGGGGGACTCCGAGGATTTAAGTATTGATGGTGGAGAGAGCTGAGAGATCAAAGAAGAGGCTTGAGAGAAATGCAATGTCATGATGCCGAGGGGTTTGGGTTTTATTCTGAGCACAGTGGAAGAGCACGGCAACTCTGCCCTAACCAGGTGTGGAGAGCCTCCGGGGGAGCAGACACGGGGAACTTCCTGAGCCCTGTGTTGGCTTAGCAGGAATTGTAAGGCTTAGCACACTGACCCTGGGCTGGTGACCTGGCTTCCTGGGGAGCTTCCTCATACAGGTTTATGTGGTACATACAAATTGTTTGGCCATTGGCTTCACTGGCATAGGAGAGGCAGTGAGCCTATAATTCTTTGGTCCCCTAGCCTGTGGCCTTCTCCCTTCACACAAGGTGCTGAGACCACAGTACATCTGGTATACCTCCATGCGCCCAGTGGAAGGGAGTAGGAACTGTATGTGCCTGTGTCCAGTGGATGTTATCTGTATCTTTTGAACTGCTTGTTGGAATAAATCAAACTGAATCCAAGTCCTCATTCTTGCTCATTTACTATGCTGGGCTTGACTCTGTGCTGTAGCCTAATGCAGAAGGGATGTGGAAAATCTGATTTCCTGGATTGCAGGCTGTTTACTGTAACACATCTGCCCATGAGAGGGCCTGACGCTGTTCAGCAGCAATCAGAGGCCCAGGTATGGGCGGAAAGAAGGCTGATGCTTGTCTGGACAGCAGAGAAGAACCAGGGAGGCAAAGGAGTTGAGAATAGAGGCTAGGAGACAGGCACTGAACAGATTCTCTCCCGGAACCTCTGCAGGGACTGTGGCCCGGCGGGAGCCTCAATCTCAGACATCTGCCTCCAGAACCGCGAGAGAATAAATTTCGATTGCTCTAAGCCTCCAAGTGTGTGGTAATTTCTTAGGGAAGCCACAGAAAAGCAATACAGTGAAAGAGTGGTTCAGATGGGGACCTGGAGCCTATCCTTCGAGCCTCCGGGACATGGGATGTAGGGAAGTGAGCAGCTTTACCGAACGGCTCCCCTGGGGCAGCCGGGCTATGTCCTCAGGATAAATCCCGGTGCCTCTGGACACCAGGACGTAAAGAACACACTCATCAAGGGACTGAGGAGAGGGGTATTTTTTAACCTGTAAAGTGCTAAATCAATCAATGCAACAAACATGAAAACTATGAGCGAGGCAGAATAAGCCTGATGATGCAGTAATAGGAATGAAACACGTCTGAAATCTGCACCTGTGCCCAGGTGACAGGCTCTTGGGTGCAGCCAAGGACTACCCAGCTGCTCAGCCCCCGACAGGATGATGAATTCCCTCCCCCAGTAACTTTAGTCATGGACAAATTTTAGGTAGTTTGTAAATATAAAGTTTTAGTAATCTTCAATAACTAATTTAGCAAGTTGCTGTAAGTAACTTTTTGCAGGTCTATGGAATTGGTTGTCTCTATTTGTCTCTAAGAATCAAAGTACGGACCTGTAGTTTGGGAGCTGTTTGAAGACTCTTAGCAGGTCTTTCATAATTCACAATAATTCTCCAGACTGATATTCTTGGATGAATTTGCATTCTTTTGCATCGTCACTTAAGTAGTTACAAGTCACAAAATTGTTTTTATGCCTGTTCCTCAGTTCTCCACCTCGTCCGCAAATATGTCATGTGAGACGGTTAACGTTTCCTCAGGCATTATCAGCTCGACCTAACGTACTAATGACACCTAATATATATTCAGCACTATGCAT